TAGGGACAATTGAGAATCCTAACCCCGAGATAACAGGTAGGATAATGTTTACTAATTAACACCTACCTTAGTGTTTATCTGTGAGTACCTGGCGCCTCTTCTTGTTGTCATTGTTTAAGTTTTTTCTTGTTTTGTTTTGTTTTAAATTGTCTTCAGTGTTTGTTTCTGTGATGTAAATTTATTTATTTTTATTTTATTAACTTATAAAATTGTTCGAAGTAAATTTTTCATTGATTTTTTTTTTTAACTTGACGTAAATTTGTTCTGTTTATAAATTTTGTTCTGAAGTATAAGTAAATATTAATCTACCTATAACGTGTGAGTTTATTCATCTGGACAGTAAGGGAAAAATAATTTATTCTGTAACATGATTTTTTCTCTCAATTATGTCTTCGATAAAAATAATTTCCTTCATCTTTTTAATTTATTCTAAATATTTTATCCACCAAGTATAGTCTCTTCTTCAGGCTATTGAGTCATTCTTTAATTTATAGTCATACAGTAGAATTTATTTTTCTACTTCAATATTTCATAATTTATTCTTCATCATGTAGACACCACCTGTAAGTTTTCTTAATTAACTTCTAATTTATTTCACACGAACAGGTGTATTTTTTCCTATCTATTTTCAATTTATTTTTTACTTCCACAGGTGTGTTTTTTTTACCTCGTATTATTATCTCATCTGTTATTTCTTCACAAGCTTTTATCCTTCATTGTCTTTCAGTAAGTCACTAATGTAACGTAGACTCAGGTTTAGCTCAAGTCAAATACGTAAGTTTATCTTTAAATTCGTTCACGATTCAAAGTTATTGTTTTTGTTTTAATCAAGTTATATTTACCTACGACAAAAACCCACACAAAAAAAAACTCAGATTTGATCACTTATCGTTATTTTCACCTCCGAGAATTTGTCGCAATTTATCGCAGATTTTGCCTCACTTTAGCGTAACTAATCGTATATTTCATCACAGATTATCGTAGAACTTATCGTAGGTTATACACGAGTGACAGTTATTCAATGTAGTCATCAGCTCGACCTGATTCAATGGACAGCAGTGAGTCGGTGAGTCTGGAGAAGGGGCGGAGCGGGACCCAGTAACGACCTATCCCGACGGAGGTTGGACGAGAAGTGAGGGGTCTCTCTCTCGCTCCCTCTGCCTCACCTCACATATTCTCCTCCCATGAGCTGAGAGATCTGTCAGCTGAGAGTTGCGTCTGGGGTCCTGGTTTGTGTGTGTGTGTGTGGGTAGATTAGGTACTAGTTGGGTTAGGTTGGAGTATATTAGGTACAAGGATGAAGGTGACTCAGGTATACACGGCAGGTAAACTCTAAATGAAATTTCTGACACCCGACAGCATTTTACGGCACAGGTGTTAAGGTTTAGGGGCTTGTTAAATATGATGAACAGTTGTCGTGTAGTGTGTTACAGGTGTTTGGGAGGAGTGTGGTGCACGTGTAAGACCAGGTGTGATTTTTACAGGTGCTATGTGTCAGGCTACAAGTGTGGAGTATTGGTTGTTAGGCTGCAGGTGGCTAGTAGGTGTCAGGTTAAAGGCATGGGACATCTGTATGGCAACAGGTGTTAAGCAGGTGTCTTCAGTTGTGGAGCGTTAAAGCTCTGCAGTACAGTATACTGTAGGTAGACAAGAGTAGTGCCAGTATACTGTAGGTAGACAAGAGTAGTGCCAGTATACTGTAGGTAGACAAGAGTAGTGCCAGTATACTGTAGGTAGACAAGAGTAGTGCCAGTATCCTCTCTGACGTCAACTGTAGTAATGTGAGTCAGACATTGTCTTTGACCAACTACTGGACCGGCCACGTTAAACGCTTGGACGATAGTAGACCGCCAAAGCAGCTACTCTACCGCTGGGGGGCAATGAACAAGCTACTAGGACAGTCTGAATACAAACCTTTACAAGTGCTAAATCGACTCCCGCATCTTGGACACGATCACGATGTTTGGAGGAGCACCACACGAGAGGGTGGTAAAACCTTTGAGTCAGCTCGACTACATGTAGAGGCAGACAAACGCCCTCGCCGGAAGACACTGTCGCCGCCCTTCTCCCTCATCCACCCACACGTGCAACATCTGCGAACGACTTGTCGGTCCCGTATCGGTCTCTCGGGCCACTTTAGAGCTCACCAACGAAGGTGACGCCAATAAAGAATTCCTACCAATAAGTGGCCGGGTGTTGGGTGTAGGTAGAGTTTGATGTGAGTTATAGTTATATGTGTGTGTGTGTGTGTGTGTGTGTGTGTGTCATACAGGTGTTATAACTTTATAGAGTCACGCAACTTTACACACCATTTGACTCTCGTAAACCAACCTTTCTAAGCTTCCCTCTGTGCCGCCCAAACCTAATTATAATCACCTATCACCTGATACGTTCACAGTCCACAGAGATAATGTGTTTATAGAAGCTGAGAGTCTATGAAACACACTCGTCACCTCCTCCCCCTCACCACACTCGTCACCTCCTCCCTTCACCACACTCGTCACCTCCTCCTCCTCACCACACTCGTCACCTCCTCCCTCACCACACTCACACCTCCTCCCTTCACTCACCTCCTCCTCCTCACACTCGTCACCTCCTCCCCTCACCACACTCGTCACCTCCTCACCACTCGTCACCTCCTCCCTCACCACACTCGTCACCTCCTCCCCCTCACCACACCTCGTCACCTCCTCCCTCACCACACTTCACCTCCTCACCTCCCCCTCACCACACTCGTCACCTCCCCCTCACCACACCCTCCCTCACCACACCTCCCTCCTCACCAAACCCCCCTCCCCACACCCTCCCCTCCTGCCCACAACACGAGGTACCATGGTAATCAGACGTCCCAGAACACCTGAAACACAGCAAAAAATGAAGAGAAGAGGGACATTAACTCACAATATAAAAACAATATAGGTCATAGTGTCACGGGTGGATATCTTAATTGGATATAGCCATTAGTCCTGTGGATATTTTATTGGATAGAATGTTGTGTAGGTGTGGGTAGATCGTTGTGTGGGTAGAACGTTGTGTAGGTGTGGGTAGATCGTTGTGTGGGTAGAATGTTGTGTAGGTGTGGGTAGATCGTTGTGTGGGTAGAATGCTGTGTAGGTGTGGGTAGATCGTTGTGTGGGTAGAACGTTGTGTAGGTGTGGGTAGATCGTTGTGTGGGTAGAATGTTGTGTAGGTGTGGGTAGGTCGTTGTGTGGGTAGAACGTTGTGTAGGTGTGGGTAGATCGTTGTGTGGGTAGAACGTTGTGTGGGTGTGGGTATAGAACATCTCTTACAGCTCAACTCATCCAGCAGTTTGGTTCAGAAAGTCAGCCAAACAATTAGTTAATTAGTGTACACCTGGAGAGAAAAAGGACAGGTGTTCAGCTTCGGATAATGAAATGAGAAATTGGGATGAAAGGTATATTCTCTCTCTCTCTCTCTCTCTCTCTCTCTCTCTCTTATGTGACGTCAATAATCACCTGTCATTTTGCTTCGCTGGACAAGTAATAAGTTTCAATTATCCTTTGACTTCAACTGTAACTTACTGTTAAGAGCATCGCCTTGTTGAGTTAGTGGAATAGTGGTAGTAGTGGTGATGGTATTAGTGGTAGTATTAGTGCTGGTAGTTGTGGTGGTGGTATTAGTAGTAGTAGTGGTGGTAGCAGTTGTAATAATAGTAGTAGTAGTAGTATTTTTAGTGATAGACGCAATTTTACTGGAGGTAAAGTATAGAACCCATAGATTTTGTTTTAACGATTTGTTTTACGATGACTTGATACAGTACAACAAGCCTTATCGTCTATACTCTATAGGAACCATAGGAACCATATAGCCTACATTTACCTATAACTATATAACCTAACCTAACCTATAATAATATCTTAGACATTATAAATCAGTAACCGGAATATACAGAACATACTAGAGCTGTATTATATCGTATATATACTAATAAATACACACACTTTGATAAACACCTGAAATATATCCGATTTCGTTATACCTATTGAAATATATATATATTATTAGACACGATTCAGTATATTTCAAGCCAAAACAAAATATTTATCAGCATCTGAGTTTTAGCTGTGTTAACAAATACTGTATCGTCACTAGATATGTTAATTTAACCTATATGATAACTGTTTACTAGGAATCTGGCAGCCATCACTACGGGACTTGCCAGAATTCTAGATGGCGGGATGGTGGTGGTGTGGGTGGTATAGGTGGGTGGTGTAGGTGGTGCTGGTTTACGTGAGTGGTGTAGGTAGGTAGTGTAGGTAGGTGGTGTAGATAGGTGGTGTAGGTGGGTGTCATAGGTGGTGTAGGTGGTGGGTGCTCAGGTAGGCAGGTGGTTGAGGCAAGTCGACAGCTTGTATAAGAATCATGCGGGCTGGATCGACAATGCCCGCCCCTATGTACTACCATACAACACACATAGTGGGCGTGACACATACTGGGCGTGATACATACTGGGCGTGATACATATTGGGCGTGATACATACTGGGCGTGTTACATACTGGGCGTGACACATGTTACACGGTGGGTGTGAAACATGAGAAGAAGTGGGCGTGACATATGATACATAGTGTGACACATAGTAGGTGGATGTCACACTTCTGGGTGAGCAAGACATTGGTGGGTGGGTGAGACAAATAGTGGGTGGATGAGACACATAGTGGGTGGGTGAGACACATAGTGGGTGGATGAGACACATAGTGGGTGGGTGAGACACATAGTGTAGTGAGTGGCTGTGAGTACTTATCATTGGCCACCTGAATAATAAATCAACACCTACCTGAGTACTTAATCAACACCCATCTGAGTACTTTAATTAATACCCACCTGAGTACTTAACCCACCTCAGTACTCAATACCTACTTGAGTACCAAACTAGCACCCACTTGAGTACTTACATTCCACTAATATTAGAGTGTACTCAACTAACATATACTCACTAGAGATTACCATTAGGATAAAATTCACTTCTTTTTGTACTCACATTAACATCTAGCAGCAGTAAGAGGTGATCCTTCCATAGTTAAGGAGTCTGGTGGTATCATAATGTACTGCTTGCGTACCTGGGGAGACAGAGTGTAATTGTGTTGTTAGCGGAGCCATTATTACTCTTGTTATTATTACAAGTGTTATTGTGGTTATTGTTGATGTTGTTTTTGTTTTTTGTTTATACAGTTGTTGTGTGGTCCAGCAGGAACTGTTGCTGCGGAATGGACTTTTGCTGTATCCCAATTCATTCTTTCAGCACCTCAAAAGTAGTGTGGGGTACGTTATGTGGGTTCACACTCAGGATGGGATGGAGAAAGGAAACACACAATGTGCTCTTTGTATACATATTGTATTGGATGTACAATGCAGCTTGGTGCTGGGAAGTGGCAGCGTGGTTATAAGCGTTAAGTGAGGGTGCTCAGAGGACAGCTTGTGGGTCGCCGTGCTCGCCGGCGGGAGCGAGGGCCGCCAGGCAGCGGCGGAGGAGGTGGTGTTGCTTGCTGAGGCTGTATCTAGAAGAAAAGAGTGGTCACCACGAGGTCAGGTCTTATATAGCGGAGGTAGGCGTGGCTTAATAGTTGACCTCCGTCATGTAAGGCGGCGCTGGTTGACCTAGACACAAGGCATACACTGGGGAATTCGCGGGGTCGGCTACTCAACGACAAACAGCGTTTGTAGGGGAGGTATCCACTACCGTAGCACTGACAGACAATAAACAATAAAATTAGATAATGTTCTTTTCTTTATTGGTTACCATCAACAAAAACAACTCATTCATATATATCTGAAACTTTGATGCTGCCATCTGTCTGTGGATACTTAAACTAAATTCATGCCTTTAGTCAGACAAGCAACTGTGTGAAAGCGTTAAGTAGATTTCTGTCAATTTTTATTCATTCCTAAGTTTCCTTTTGGCTGGGAATGGGAGGTGGGCCGTGGGTGCATGTCAGTGCAGTGTTGTGACGTTGTGTGTTTATTTACTCTCGGAACAGTGATCCAGCGAGACAAGTTTTGTTACGTATATTGGTACACCAGATGAGATGATCACAAGCATTAACGGACGGATGCCGTCAGCCAAATAAGTATCTCATAAGTGCAAATTGGTAAAGGTGGTTGTTTACATTAACGGCATGAAACACCTGTGAATGTTCTGTACTGTACGTCCGGTCAGACACAAAGGTGATCAAGAAGTGCCTTTAAGAACACTTGAAAAAGAAGAAGAAACCTTACACACTGAAAAGCCATCCATCAGTCAAGTCAAGAAAGGCGGGCCAACGTTGTTGATTTACCAATATGTGTCTACGTCACTCAGATACTTCGCTCGAGCCTCGGATTCTCAAGATGAACCTAAGTCATTTTTAGAGTCGTCGTTAGTCACATCTATCAAGGAAGGACTGAAGCACCTGGAGATTGGCCCCGGTTTATTTCACCCGTTCATTAAACACCCCAAATCTTCCCGGGGTGGTCAGGTTAGGTTAAACTTGCTGCACACGCTCAATTTTTGTTCAGATTTGTCAGCACAAAGAAACATGAACTGCACGTTTTTCCTCCACACTGTACAGTTATACTGAAGAGGTCACCACAAACAGCTCGGTTCGCTCCCAAACTTCAGAAGAGTTTAACTACCACGGACGAAGGTCAGTTATCTACAGTATCTGTGATCTGGCATTGTAATGGTTCAGTGTCCTAACATGACCTTTGTGTCGTGTCAGAGGTCAGTGTCATAACGTGACCTTTGTGTCGTGTCAGAGGTCAGTGTCCTAACATGATGTGTAGTGAAAGAGGTCAATGCCTTTTATATATCGTGACAACCATTAGAGTCAACTGCATGATAACTGATCATTCACAGGTCACCTGGTCAATTATTTTTTATTTGGTGAAAATGTTTATCCCTGAATATGATTAAGGATTTTTTTTGCAAGAATTCTGTATATAAATGTATGCATATTATTATTGTTGTATCTATTATTATTATTATTATTATTATTATTATTATTATTATTATTATTAATCATCATCGGCATTATACACTCGTATTATTTCCTCGTGGTATTATAGTTAAAGCTCTTTAAACTTTGACATCAAAAGAATGCCTTTCAAAACTGAAGAAAATTCCTTAAAATTATTCCATTCTTTTACACTGGGAAGTACTGGCTCCTGAAGTATCTGTTCCTGCCCCACTGTTGTTGGTCAAGTCTGTTCTTGAAAGAGCTCACACTCGGTGCCGTCACAACACTGGCAGATTGTTCCAGGTGTTCACGATTTTCACTCCGAAAAGTTTGCCCTCACAGTTTTCTGAACTTGTGGCTTATTCATCCTTGAGCTGTGACCCCTTGTGGGGCGGCCGTCCGCCAGCTCCAGGTATGGACACTCGACTGAGTAGTATGCCCTCTGAGATGTTTATACACTTCAATTAAGTCATCCCTTGTCCGTCTGTATGTCACTCTATCATGTATAACACGGAAATAAATAACTGATTGTAAAAAAAAAAATACATCTCCCAGTGGAGTAATACTTACCCTAATGTTACTGAATATTACCGTTTCGAGTGTTGGTGCTGAAAGATCGTTTAATCTAATGAAACTAATCACATATTACCTCCCTATCATCCATGTCATAACATCTTTCATACTTGGCCACTTACAAAAGTAAACAGTAGTCTAATTTCGGCAAAAAAAAAAATTTATCCCAATTTTCCCCAATTGGTATGAGTTATTATTTTTCTATTGCATTTTGGTTCCTAACCTCACCTCACCTAATGGGATAAAAACGAATATTAACTAATATCGATGATCCATAAATTTTGTTTCTCTGTATCTTAATAGTAAATAACCTGCTGCCTGTCATACATTTCTACGCCGAATTAGAATAAAATCAATATTCCTTTTCATTACAGATTTATATTTCTCTAGTTAACACCACACTACTGTATGCTGCACAATTTCATTCATAAAAATCCTTTTTGCAAAATGTTTGTCGTAAAAAATTCGCTAAGTGTGGCATTTGTTTACATCTACTCATTTAAACTTTAAAGGAAACTTTGTTATTAAACCCCATACATTGAAAATATTTAAACTCGATTACGTTAGACATTTATAACTTCAAGCTTTAAATATCCTTACCAGTAACAGTGAGAGATACCAATTCCACGTGAACCACACAGTCCATTTGTTGCTTTTGGATAGGACTGGGAATTCTCGAGTCCAGTCTATGAATTTACAACAGTATCTTAGCCTCTTTGGATGCTGTTCGTCAAGGCTTGTCGAGGTCACTGTGCACTTGAACCTGGCAAACAAACCCACAATAAATCACTTTGCCACAATTTATTAAGCTTATGTTATTCCAAATATAATTGTGTTTTTATATTTTTATATTGATTATTTTTTTTATTTAAACAACAACACAACAAAGTATAACAGTGTCCCACTAAATGAGTTAATACTTACTTGAACGTGAAACTCCCGCCGAAATCGGGGGACTTGACAGGCCTTTATAATATCTATCTAAATTAATTATATAAGATATTGAGCGAGCTTTCATAGTATTCACATATTGAGTTCTGTTCTTTATTCGCTATTTTTATAATACTTATTACGAAATTTCACGTATTTCTATCTCTTCATTTAAACGTGAAATTTAAAATCCGTTAATTAATCGCCCTTTAACCTTTGTTTATAGTTTAAAAACCAAATCCTCGCCTTTAAATCCTTTAATTTTTAATTGGACCATCAGTTTCATATTATGAATTATCTGGCTTAAAGGGTAATGAGTTTATTATGACCGTCAGTAACTTTACAACTTTCTTTTACATTTATAATAATAATAATAATAATAACACTCGACAACACTTTCAGACTCATCAGGAAGGAACCAAGACTTGTTAACAGCCTCCCACCCTCTTTAAATGACCCTTCAGCTGCTCATTAGGATCTTTAAACAGAAAACTGAGTGTACTGTTGCAGAAGATGATGACACACCTCTATTGCTTGCATACCACACTTTGCCACACTGTATCAAGCTGGACAACTGTATACCATTGTGCAAGAGGGAGGCTGAAGGGCAGTGATAGTTGATGTAAGTTACCTGAGGTCGTGCCATTTAATCATCACAAGGTATATAAGTTTATAGTTGGTTAGCCATGTTTACAGAGACTATTATTCCAGTTCAATATGTGTATGGACAGTGTGGAGGTACATGGTATAAATAGACTGTGGTGGTATACACTTTCCCATGTACCTAGAGGGTGCAAATAAATAACAATGGGGAAATTTTTACTTTAGGATACGAGTCCCTAGGTGTTGTCCAATATGTTTTTCCAGTGAATTTTGGTGTGTTTTAAGCGACTCCGACCTTCATTTTTGTCGGAAATGTATAGTTTTTGCCCCCTCCCCCCAACAATAATGGGGAAGAATCTGGGAAATCGGGGTTTTTGGGTGGGAGAGAAAACGAAAACGATTCCTCTACCTAACCTCTCGCCGGGGGCTCCGCTCTCGGTCCCCCTGGTAAGCCTAACCTAACCTAAATGTTTCAGTACTTTAAAACTTTGGAAGGACCAGGGATAGGTTTAGGGTCATCGACCTCCTCATTGGACCCTTCTTCGAGAGGCACAGGTGCAGCACGGTCCACCTTGAACGATTACAGAACCACTGGTTCTTGTCCTTTCTATATTTACAAGGCAATTTACAGTGCGGGCACTCAACAGACGTAGGAAGAACACCGTGATTATGGAAGACTTCGATAGAATGATCGTCTTTCTCGTAAAACTTGGCAATAAACCTAAAATTATCGTAGAAGCACGATTGACAACCAACCTCCACCACGGCCATTGTCACACAGGTCATTGAAATTTAAATCCGTACCCTGGCTGCTTCCTTCGAAAAATTTCAAATGTGATTGGTCGAAAAAAAAAATTGCGGGATGATATCGGTACATCATTGGTCACGAATGAATGACGTCTGTCAATATTGTTCCTATAACATCGCTTCACAGACGAAGACTGAAAATTTCGTAAAATCAATTAAATTCAATTGTGTCGCTATTTTTCATTTCCGAATGGTAGAAATGGTGTTCAAAATGCTCAGAATAGGGAGATCTAAATGTTTCAGTAGTTTATAACTTTGGGGTGCACTATGTCCTAAAGTAAACTAATACCCAACATTGGTAAACTATAAGGCAATTTGACCAGGAACATCCGACCTAAGATGCTTATTTCCACGAGGGTCTTTTGCTTAGGTTAGGTCACTCGCCAGTAATACAGTAGTATATCTACATGAGTAAAAGTGAATTTTTTTTTTTTAAATTGACAGTGGATATTTTGCCATGACCGGCTAAGTTCCTGCCATTTTACCGTGTTTGTGCTCTGATTGACTAATCGATTACCGGTGAACAACATGAGAACAATATGTGACCGTGATTCTGGCAGCATTTGGCTTTTATTTTGCCTTGAGTTGATCATTGTGTAGCTATAACATATCTAACCAGAGGTTGTTCAATTTTAGTAATTTTTTCCACAGATGTTCTTATCATTAGAAAAAAAGGTGACATTTACTAGAACCTACAGAACCTGACCTAACTAACCAAAGACACCTACCTAACCTTACCTTAATTCCTAGCCAGGGGGCAGATCCCCTGTCATATTAAACAGAAAGTACTTAGCTACTCAGAGCGCACTCAGGGTAAAATAGCGTTAGTGGGAACTTAGCTGGTCACCGCAAAATATTCACTATGTTTTTTATTCAACAAACAGATCACTTCAACAATACAACATTCTGTGGTTCATGATATAGAAATAGTAAAGGTGGAGCACATGGCTAACACCAGAAGGAGTTGTATGATTTCGTTCATTTTTTCCACAGATGTTCTTTAGATGTTACTAAGTAATAAAAATTATTTGACAATGCACAGCACCTAATAGAACCTGACCTCACCAAAGAAACCTACCTAAACTTACCTAACTTCCTAGCCGGGGGCTCCGCCCTCAGACCTCCTGGCATATTAAGCAGAAAGAACTTACTTTTGATGTCTGGTACCAATGAAAGCAACTACAGTATCTTGAAGTGGCATGGTGTAATTTTACATTTGGTTAATATTCGTCCATTGGCTGTCCGCAGGTTCCCACCATGTTTACCCGAGCTTATATTCCTCAATTAAAGTCAGTTGTCTCTTCATTTCCTCCTCCTCCTTGTAAGTTAGGTTGGTTCTTTTGGCATGAGAATAGGTATTTTTTATTTATTTATTTATTTATTTTTTGTGTGTGTTTTACTCAAATCTGACCTTTATTTTTGTGCAAATTATCTATTTCTGTTAAAAATTAAAATTTAATTTTTTGGCAAAAATTGCTAATTTGCACAAGAAATGCAGATCAGATTTGAGTAACACACTCTGAAAAACGTCCAAAACCCCTCTTCTCATACCAAAACCTGAGAACAGCTAATGGACAAATATTTACCATACTGTACATATTTTGTGGACATGAGAGTACACACGGACAGAGTGGCTCGGTTGTTGCACTGAAACAAAGAGCAGAGACAACACTTACTGACACGGCAGATTAAGCTGTGGAATATTTATGGTAAATAATTAATATCTTTGCATACAAAGTACGTAGAGATGTCATTCTGGTGTCATATGATCAGTTTTTCACTGTGTTTTGCCCTGCATTTTCCTCATCCTTCATACCCTGCCCACTACAGGTTATTTATTTTTGTAGATAAAGAAAAACTAAAAAAATTACTTATTAATTAAAATAAAAAGGTGGCATATTGTTTTTATTAGTTACTTTCATCCAAAGAACATACATATGTGGAAAAAATGAACGAAATCCAAGACCCGGGAAAAAATAATTTTTTTTTCCGAATTTTCCAGAATGACGCATTATATCATCCTCGGATTCTGCTCCCAGAGCTGGAAGAAAAATTGGGAGAATTTACGGAATTTTTCTCAGAGTTTTCAGAAAATAAGCCTGATTTTCAACCATGGAAAATTGTTCTCTGACTTGGAATTGAGAGTTCCAACTAAGAGGGATTCCAGCTAATGGAGATATTACTATAGTATCTGTACTTACAATAATATGAAGCGCACACTAATTAAATCAACAGACCACTAATCACTACCCTTAGACGTCACTCTATATACACAGGCCATAGTGAACTGAGAGTGTCACTTTTACCCACTACTGTGTGTCTCAGTTACATCAGAGCCGTCCATGAAGCCCCTTGTATCTCATTACATAAGTCTAGTTTGTGTATTAATGAATTAACAAATAACTTTACTAAGTTAAGAATCTTATCATGTCATAAACATTCATAACCTAGTGTGTTGTTTGTGAACCGACCTACGAATGTTTTGTTTATCAGTCTTTTACCCGCTACTCCGGTGTGTAAAATTGACGCTACCTTCAGAGAGACAATGTCGGATAGCAGGGTAGATCTTTAGTGGATGTCTGTGATGATCAGGCAGTGTGTAACCCAGGGTGGACCTTGGTGTGAACTACAAAACCTACCAGCACCAATGTGTGTGATCCCAAAGCAGTGTTTGACTTCAGTGTGGTGAATTCAAGTCAGGCAGTGTTATTGCCAGCCAATCTGTATGTATGGTGAGGCCAAGCATATCTATTTTAGAATTTGGCAGAATGATTGCATCCTGAAATGTGATTGGTGGAAGATCATCTAATTTGGAGAGTGTAATTGGTAAATACTTGGTTTGTTTTATTACTATTGAATTTAACCAAATTTCTACCTCCCCATTCGGAGATGCTGCACAGATCCACATTGATAGATGAATTGATATCAGTTCTAGAAACAGATGTAGTTGTGGTACAGTACAAGGTAATCACCAGTGTGATCTATAGCCAATGTGCTTAATCATGCTATAAATAATAATAGACGTGTGGGTCCCTGTAGTAGAGACATCTTCAGGTCATTAGAAGCTACTAATCACTCACCCCAACAATGGGTGACCTGACATTGCTTTAGAATCTGTACTGTACTTACAGTACATACATGTACTGTACTTACAGTACATGTATGTACTGTACTTACAGTACATACATGTGCTGTAAGTACAGTACATACATGTACTGTAATTGTTTGCTTTTTCTCTGTACAGTATATCCAGCTGTGATTCTATTATTTTAGTTCACATATGTACTGTAAATACAGTATATTATGTAAGTGCAGTGCATACCGGGTACATGTATATACTGCAAGTGCAGCACACATTTGTACTGTAAGTGCAGCACATACCTGTACTGCACTTACAGCACATGTAAGTACAGCATATATATATATATATATTTACAGTACTTATGTGAACTAAAATAATAGAATCACAGCTGGATATACTGTACAGAGAAAAAGCAAACAATTATGTAATTCTGTAAGAAAGTCAGTACTTGATAATTATTAGTAGGTGCTTTTCGCTGTGATTCTAACCTTATTTTACACTATGTTAAATTGTCAAATTGATTAAACCATCAAAATTTAGTATTCATTCATAAAACAAAATTTACTAATTTGTAATTATTCAACCCATATTAACTAAAAGAGAGGTGTTGGTGGTACAGCGTGACCAAAACAGAATTGGACTTTAATGTGTCAGTAGTACAGATACATCGAGAATAACACAGACACCAAAAAGACTTTGGTTGGTGAGTAATTAAAATTATCCAATGTCATTTGGACAACAGATCCTTAATCAGCATGTTCAGGAGAACATATATTGAACAAAATCAGCGAGACCACGATTTCGGCCAAATTGGTAAGGCTTACCCCTTATTGGATTTTAAAGTCCAAAACACCTTTTCTCTCAGAATTAAAATTCAATGTGTCTTCCTCTGCTAACACACACACACTTTATAAAACCATAATAATACAGAATACATTTAGAGTAACTCACCTCATAAAGCTCATTTATAAACTGGTTCCGTGTTTTTGGGTTAAACAAGAGCCTGACGCCCTTATTATTAAACGTCTTCCTTTGAAGAGGTTCGTCGTGTTTTAACCCGAGTTTTAAACTAAATGAGTCCTGAGGGACACCGCAATGCAGTACTTAACGGGGTGATGTGGCGGTAAAATTAACTAATTCCAATATTATAAATTAATTTTATTGGAATAGTTAATTTTACGGCCACACCACCCCATTAAGTACTGTACTGCGGTGTCCCTCAGGACTCATTTAGTTTAAAACTCGGGTTGAAATACGACGACCCTCTTCAAGGGAAGATCTTGTGTAATAATACGGGCGTGAGAATCTCTGCATCCCTTGCAATACCAGACTCCTCAACCACAAAGTTAACTGTAGGAATGTCTTCTTCCTGTAAAATAATGTTAAATGTAAATCATTCTCCTGGTTTACTAGGTAATAGACTGCACACCTAAGGTCATCAGTAAGAAGGATATGACTATTTGAAGTTAGAAAATTCTCACTGGTTTACTTTCTCTTTCTGCCATAATCACAGACAAGAATAATTTAGGTCAGATCCCATATGTATCATTGACATATGAGGCGTTGCATGGAGAAACTAGCACTAGCACCATGCTCATTTTTCTCAGGAAATGCAATCAAAGTTTGCAATATTCTGGAATTGGTATCACGGAAGTATTCTTGCTAGAATGTTGCAATTTGGTTTAAAAATGTTTGTAAAATATGCAAATAATTTTTTGAAACGATACTGTTAGCCTCACCTTAACTTCGATGAGATGAGATGCGGACCAGAGATAGGTTTCGTCTCTGGACTTTCAACCATATGGTCATTGGCATTTTTGCACTTCGTCTATCACCTCATGAAAATAGGGTGTTTGAAGAACCGTTTGCAGGCATAAACATGATTGTGACCTGAGTGGAGCTTGTGCTAGTTTTTCCACGCAACGCCTCATATGTCACTAGCTTGTGGCCAACAATTCTTGAATCATTTAGTGAGAGCTTTGTGATTTCCCTTGACACTCAACAAAGCCTTTGATGATGTCCGGTATAAGAGCCTTTTAGTAAAGCTGTCTAAGCTAGGCTTGAAGTCACCCCTAATATAGTGAGTGAATATTATTTATTTATGAAAGCTTAAACTTTGTATACACTATCCTCGTTGATTCAGATTGTTATAATTCGGATTTCAGCTTAATTCATAATTATTTTCTCAAAAAATTAATTAACCTATTTGAATTTGGAATGATTCTGAAATAAATGAGCAGTTCCAAAAAGTTGATTATTATTATAGGGATATATTATGAAATAGATTAAGAAGACTGAATTATAGGAATAGAATATGAATTATATCAAGATACTGTACAAAACTACATTTGGTGTGTAGCTGGGGAGAGGAGATGGCGAAGGAGGGAGGTAGTACAACTCACCAATTCCTACTTGGCAGCCCGCGATCCTTTTATAACAACATGATGCAATTCTCGATAATTCCCATATTATTTAGGTTCATTTGGTGCCGGGTTAATAAAACATTATTGAAAAATAGTGAATATTCCCCCAATTTCCACTCTCAATCCCAGATGAGCTATTGTGCCGTAGTACTGTATATTCTCAGTCTCTTGTTTACAGAGCGGTAACAGCTGATCGGTCCCGCTGACCTACTTTCATTATAGTGCATTTTTTCCCAGCTGAGAAGAGATCCCCCGCCCACTTCTCAAAAGTTGCAGCTGATTGGCTGTTGCAAACCTGTCCGATTTCGTCCTGAAGTAATGATGTATTTCTAAAAAAGTTAATTCATAATCATTAGGATGACTGTTTGTGACGAGAAAGATATTCAGCTAAATATACATTCATTATTTCAAACATAAGCACGTAGGAAGTTTATCAGAAGTATTATACATGAATTAACTGTTAAACTCTGGTAGCAAATTTACGTTTTCGGAGGACGCATTTAACATATACTTATTTTTACCCTCAATAAGGCATACTAAGACAAATTACGTATCAGTAATACTACATTATGCAAAAACTAACATTCTAAAATATCAGAATCACACTGAAATATTATACGGATGTTAGCAGAGGTGGGAATATTAAACTTTTAAAATTATTGAATAGTATAAACTTCTTGATATTTACTAAAATAGTAAGGAATTTAAGCCCTAGAACCGATTAATGTATTGGCGGACTGATACTAAAGCTGGTTGCCCGGTCAGTGCAAGCGAAAACATGTTGAGGTCAGTTCGTAAGAAATTCGTTAACCGAATTTTTGTTCGTTAACCAAATTGAAGATCCTTATGGAAGGCAGTTCGTTAACCGAAATTTCGTTAACCGAGGCGTTCGTTAAACGAGGGGTCACTGTACTTATTTTTACCCTCAATAAGGCATACTAAGACAAATTACGTATCAGTAATACTACATTATGCAAAAACTAACATTCTAAAATATCAGAATCACACTGAAATATTATACGGATGTTAGCAGAGGTGGGAAATATGACTGCGAACAACTTCATACTGTGCCTACTTGGTCATCTGCTGTCTAGTTTCTCATCAGTTAGAAAATCAAGCTGTGGTTCCTCTATGCTGCAGGGAGCCTCACCATAAAGTCACTCATATGTGGTCACATCACCGTGCTCTGTAAAAAATGTACATATTAATCTCATGATATAGAAATTACTTGAATTAGCAATATGCATAAGAATACTGTCTTAGGTCTAATGTTGCACCACTACCACCTCCCTGCCTTTCTAAATGGAGTATATGGGGGTAACACTTATTTTAATGTTTTATGTTCTATGTTTTAATGTCAATGACAGCCTGTAAAACATTTTCCCAAACCTTCCTGGAACATACACACCACTCTGATTACATGCATTACTTTAGGAAAATGCATTTTGCTTAGGATGTCATTCTTCAGGAAAACAATTAGTGTACAAAATGAGAGATAATTGTCTTTAATTCTTCAAATATTCATCTAATGTCTGAGTAATAATTATAATCACTGTTTTATAGTCACATTCTACACTTGCAGGGATTACCTAATGACAAGGTGATCCAGTTGACATCAAATAAATTTAAAGCAAGTTTCAAAGCTGGATGCCCTTCCCATCACCATATTTACAGAGTGGGAACCAGGCATTATATGTAGGGATTCCAAGCATTCTATGTGTCTATGTTTTACAATAAAAATTTATCTAAAAGTTTAAATGTTAAGAAGCTTTTTGTTCAGGAATGTAACACCTATGATTAAATTTATTCCAATGAGGATACTGTATACTTTTCCCATTGTGTGTTTTCACTTAAGATGGCAATTATCTAGAACACATTAGCTGCTCTAAACATGTGATGCCTGTAGTGATGTGCAGTCAACAGTACAGATAATGTAGTAACCTCTTGCAACAGCAGCATATGTTTATGTATTATACAATGTACAGTCCCCCAAAAAGTATCATTAGATTTTCCGTCACTACAATTTGAAACGCGAAACGAAATCCATTATATGATCCCTAGTGCATCATCATAAGTTGGTATGCCTGCTCATCATATCATCAACAGCCAGAAATGGGGACATTTCACTATTACAGTACATCATTGTAGTAATGGAGTTTCATTCATACTGAGTTTCACAATATGCATACTCACGTTGTTCATGATATGTGTGATTTATGATGAGTAACTAAGCAAATATATTGGTCTACATGGGATCTGCTATTTTCATGATATGTAAAATGCATTGGTTTATCACCGAAATAAGGTCTCAAATCAAGGAACTTGCACGCAACATAACCCCTGTCCACCTATAGTAAGACATTTGTGGTTGTAAATTTCAGTGTGGCAGCAGTTATTTCAAGGCACCTAACCCATTGTGATAACGTGGGTTCATGCCGTGCTATCTCAGCATTATGTATACCCTCGTTGTGAGGGGCAATGACACCACCTCTCACATCTTGCAATGTCTCCCCGATAATTACTCACTCTATTTGACTTTAGATACCAATGATGACTGGCAAGGCGTTGGTACCCATTTACAACATACACTCTGAGTCATGTAATATAACTATGATCAGAAGCGTATTTCAAAAATGTGTATACAGTACTCGTTCATGTTAAAAGGTCGCGGATGTAGAACTACCAAACGTTCAGAAATAGGTCGAGTAACATTGCTCGGAAAGCCTCGGATCACATTGACTCTCATGGCTAACGATACTTTTTGGGGGACAGTAGTACATGTCTTGCCACAGTTTATATGCTATTTCACGTATGTATACAGTATGCAGAACAGGTCTAACATGTAGACTGTTTTACAGAATTTTATATTGACTGTTTGTCTGTGAACATCTCAATATGAGCTTAAAGTCTATTCTGAAGATGTGACCAAATACATAAATAGTGATCATTCATTTCTAGTATGACTTTTGGCTTATCATCTACCAGCAATCTTCTTATTAATTCTAACCTTATACTGTAGAGAAGTTATTAATTTTCTTGTTATCTAGGGCCAACACAGTAATTCAGGATAATAGAACAACTTTACCTATTTTTTTAATTACTGTATATACTGTATACTGTAGGTAGTCCTACAGTAATTGCTGAAATTCTCATGGCAATTCTCTCGCAACTTACACTTTCCATGTGGCTTAATCATAATTACAAACTAACACACTAACCTAAGAAATATTCACACTAAGTTTATGAGCACCTCACCTTCATTCACTGAGAACCATACCACCTAAGGTATTTTTAGTACAGTATTTTTTTCTGTTTCTTTTAGAATATCACCAATCTTCAAGCAGCAGAAGTAGTTGATATCAGAAAAAATAAGAAACAATTATGAATTAGCTGTTAAATAGCAGCTAGTTTGCTGCCTCTCATATAAGATGTACTACTGGACTAAGAAATACCTTCAACCTAATAACCATGATAGTACTTACCAAAGAGAACTAAAATAAGCAGTTTTAACAGCTAAAATATTGCCAAATAATTTCGGTCAAGATTCGAATGGAAAATTAACTCGCTATTCTTTTCTTTTAATTTTGTAAGCTTTTCTTGCACGGTTAGAATAAAGAGCTACCTGTACAAAGATTCTACCATTAATCATTTGTTGTCACTGCTGTACATATATGTTCTCCTGTAGTACCCTTTCCACAACAGGCCCTGAAATTTCCTCTACTTTACTTAGTGCCTCAAACAGTGCAATATCTATTAGCAACAATCCTAGGCTAACCTAACTGGGTACAGTGTACAAAGAGTCTTCATCTTCCATCAGCCATTCCCAAAGGTTAAGTACAGTTTTAGCATCTCTGATCAGTCTATGCCATGTTCCTCTATCATTAGTTGCTGTTACTCTCAAACCAATGCTCTCCTTGTTAATGTTATCTTACTCTTGAGCTCATCCCTCTGACCTCCTCCACTCCTCTTGTCATCCCATATAACCAATACATCTTAACTTGCCTCTTCTATCTTATTAACCCATATTGTACATAAAACACCGAGCAAGGAACTGAACAATGCTTTAGTTAGTGTACGGTATCTATCATCATTACTCCTCTCCTACCTTGTGTGGAGTGAATCATGGAATATAAAGGAAAAGAAATAGCAGGGCAGTGTGGTGCAAGGCAGGTGATGAAAACCAACAAGAAATACAGTACAATACTCACTCACTCACACACACACACACAACAGTACATATAACAAATAAATCCTAAGTTTCCTCAGTGATTCACAGTTTTTATATCAACAATTCAACTCACAAGTTCCAGAAAGAAGACAAGTGATCTGTGGGTGCTCGGGCATATCCTGGGTTGCATTGTTGATTTTCTCACAGATTATGCGCACCATCTCTGGCCACTCATGTTTATGTGTCATCGAGAAATTAACCAATCCACTAATTTACCATCAGGAATATCAAGTGGCAAATTTTGTTCCTGAAAAAAACAAAATACAATAAATAAATTGCATAATGTAGTAACCTTACTAATTATCACCTCCACTACTTATCTAACCTTAAGTCACATTTTTCAGGTTGCCAACCTTTGAGAGTGCAGTAGAGTACCCCTGTATCTGTTATTATTATCATATTCCCACCGCCAGTTGCAAAAACTCAACTGGATTACAGATATCCAGACCATAAGGGAATACTACTGTACTATAGTACAGTAGTACTGTATATATACCTATCACAACTCAACCTATGATGTAACACCAGGCCCACATGCCAAACACCATGGGTTAACTCATAAATTCTATGGTGTACATACCAGTATTAGGCAAGTCAAGCTCAAGTATAAGTCATACTTCAGGTTGAACCTCTCAAATCCGGCACCCTTGAGACAAGACCAGAGCCGGACCAGAAAATTTTCTGAACAACGGGTGGTAAATATATTCAGTGTCAAAATAGCAAAAAAAGCCATCATAACATAATGTATTAGTGTTGTTGTACAATTCTTAGGTATTGGTACTAGGAAATAGATACAGTACAGGGTAGTTTATTTTAAGTACAGGTACAGTACTGCAATATAAATAATGTCCAGTCCAGGCAAAAGTGTCTGACCATGGATGGTGCCGTTCCGTGGAATTCCAGACTAAGGAGGTCCGACCTGTACCATGACACACTCAAGTGTTTACTCTCCCTGCCCTATCACAAAGTATATACTACAGTATTGTATACAGTGCATATAAAAAATAAAATACAATAATATGCTAGCCATACTGGAAGCTAACAAAGATATGAGAATAAGAGGTCAAACTATTTATGAAAGCACATAGCATGAATTACCGGTAACCATCTGCAACTAATATGACCAAAAACTTATAAAGTGTTGATAATTATTGATAACTACACTGCAGCTGATATTTCATAGAAAACTAATTTAAAAACGCTGCAATTTCACTGTGTTTCATAGTGGACATTGTCGTACTTATGGCAAATGTGTTAAAAAGTGTTTATTTAAATGTTCAACTTAACCTAACCCCCACCCCCCCAAAAAAAAAAAAATTCATATCAGAAGTCACTGCTGAAAATATAGTAAGAATTTAAACATCAAAACAAATAACGAGTCAGCGATGTAGTTGTGAATATTAGCCGACGTGATCAAAACACATCAAAAACCACATGAAAAACAGTTTTATGTCTAACCAAACCTAACCTAGCCTAGCCTAGCCTAGCCTAGCCTAACCAAGGGGGGAGGGGGGGGGCACCACAGTCATTCGATGTTCTGGGTGTGTACCACCACATACGAATATACATAATAAAATGATAAAATGATAAATATCTCTCTTATACATAATTTGCGTCAGAAATGTCATAAAAGAAAGGTGTCTTAGAATTGTCAAAATTACCGATTGCAACTATAAAATTCCCGAGATTCGTTTAAATCAGGGGTGTCAAACTCATGGCCCGCGGGCCAAATGTGGCCCTTGGAATGGTTAGGTGTGGCTCGCGGGATGACGGTAAAATTTATCAGTTCGTGAAATGTGATAGAAATAGATATGAAGGAAAAAATGCAAATATGATGAGTCAGTAAATTCCAAAATGATCTTTACATCATTTTGGCAATAATTTTATTTATATTGAGCTCTTAAGTTTCAAAACACAAATGGAATTATATAATAAATTGTAGCCGCAAAATAATGCATATATATGGCTTTTGCTATCCTATTATTAGCATTAATAATGTTTATTAAGTAAAATAATTGTACAAACTTAAGATCAGACATCCCAAATGGGGTCCGACTAATTACCCAAATGTACCCAAATATAGCCGGAATGAAGTCAAATAATGGTCCTAGATGAATAAATCGGACTGCCAATCACTTCTCGACTAGTATTTGGTGTCAGAAAGTCACAAAAAATTGGAAAACTTACTTTAATCTGAGTTAATAGATCGCGTGCATGTACCGACGGAGCGAGTAATTACCCAAATGTAGTCGCAATGAAGTCAAATAATGGTCCTAGATGAATAAATCGGACTGCCAATCACTTCTCGACTAGTATTTGGTGTCACTGAGTCACAAAAAGTTGGTAAACTTAATTTAATCTGAGATAATAGATCAAGTGCATGTACCTAACCTAATCTAATCTAATCTAATCTAATCTAATCTAACCTAACCTAACCCAACACAACTCAGATTAAATTAAGTTTACCAATTTTTTTTTTACTTTCTGACACCAAATACTAGTCGAGAAGTGATTGGCAGTCCGATTTATTCATCTAGGACCATTATTTGACTTCATTCCGGCTATATTTGGGTACATTTGGGTAATTAGTTGGACCGTCCCAAATGAGATATTCCCGATAAGCCAGGTAAGGCAATGTGTGAAGCTGTAAACTTCAATCCTGCAAATATGTGATATAGCACCTGTGTTGGCCCTGATGAGGCTAACTACAATAAGAACTGGCCCTCGAAAGGTTTGGAGTTTGAATGCAACAAGTGAAATAATACCTGAATATTTACCCCCATTCATTTATCTTGTATCCATTGACATTTCTAAAACAAATCCAGCTTTAACGTAAATGATCACCATGAGGACTTTAACTTACATCCATGACCTGAGTGTTGTGTTGACAGTTAAAGTTAAATGGATAAGTTAAATGTCACCAGGTGTTACCACGTCCTCGCTCACCCCGTCTACATTTAGGAAATTTTCTAGGACATGTGCATGATGCCTTATGATTTATACACAGCAGCATATTTTAAAGTAATAAGAATGAAACGACGCTTGAAATAATTCCATATCAGTAGCTGTTGATTAATGTACAGTATTGAATAGTTCTCATATCTCTCTATCTCAGAAATTAGATTATATAAAATTATTTACAAAATATAATTTATTATAGTAAATTAGGAATATATAAAATATGATAAGTAACAAATAAACTTATTAATTAGACATGAATACATACCAAGAAGAGTGATTTAAAAGCTCCTGAAAACCTTTTAAAGGATTGTTCCCGACTATTTGTAAACAAACATGACGGTAAATACCTTACCATTTAAACTCGTCTAGTTTGAACACGTTGTATATCCTATAAGGTAATGAATTAAAAGTAAAAAAAAAATCACTTTGCAATAATTTTTTTCATACATGATGTATACATTAAGCAGCTCTGTAAACCTTACAAGTTTATAATAGTTCACCATCGTATGTTAAAGGTTATGACCATTTTCTATTAGGCAGTAAGGACACGTCAGTTCAGAGCATCTCGCGGAAGTTCTACAGCGAGTTGCATCAGTGACAGTGGAGTAAAATTTGTCTTATCACTAAGTGACACGTCGCCGTAGCTGATATAATTCATCGTTTACGGACCTGAGCCTCAGTTTACACCAACAAGCTTAAGCAGTAACTAAGAAGCGCTCGAACACTCGACGTTGTGACAAATTTTGTGTACTATACATAACTCACACTACTATAAAACTTGTTTAGTGCAGTTACAAGTGTGATAATAATGTGGACATCACTGAATGTATGTATTATAGTAATGGTGATTGGTGTACAAAGTGGAGAAGTTGCACAATGGCAACAGCAAAAAGAAAAGGTTGTTAGTGCACTGTTCCACCAGCAAGAGGCAGCGTGGGGGGTGGAGGTGCTGCAGCAAGCTGCCAGACAAGGCAACCTAGACGCCGAGAGTGACCTAACCCTGGCACGTCTCTTGGGGACAGGTATGACGCAGGACATCGCAGGGGCGGCAGCGTCGTCCAGCAACCTGGTGAATGTGGGAGGCGCTCGGGCCCACACCACTCAGGGCCTCCTCCTGTCTCATAACCTGACGGGCACCTCCCTCACGAAGGAGGAGCGACACAGTCAAGCCGTGTGGCACTACTTGCTGGCAGCAATGAACAAGGACCCGCTTGCTCAGATTATGATGGGCGGGCACTACTGGAACGGCGGGGACTGTGAGGCCGCCCTCCAATATCTGCGACGAGCAGCTGTCACTGTCATCCCCACAGCCAGAGAGGAGGCCATCAGCCAAAACCCGCCCAGATATTTGTGGGCTGAGGACGACAACACTCCCTCCATCTACCAGATGCCGTCCCTTGACGAGTTTCAGTTCTTGGAGTACTCGGCCATGACCGGTGACCCAGTGGCAGCCCTGAGAGCCGGTATCATCCTGCACAAAGGTGTGCCCGACGTGGGACAAGACCTTGCGCAAGCAGCTGTGTATCTGCGGCAGGCGGCCCAGGCCAACAGCACCTCAGCCATGGTGATGCTGGCCGCCATGCACCTTCACAACTCTGTCGCCCCAGACCGTGATGACACCCTCGACCTTCTACAGACAGCGCTCATTCTCGGCGATAAGACGGCTCACACATACTTAGGTTTACTCTACCTTAAAGGATTCGGAGACGTACCTAAAAATCTGGCAAGGGCCAAAAAACACCTGGAACAAGGCATCAGGACTGGGAGCGTGGAGGCGTTCTATCTGATGGGAAACGTGTACGAAGACCCCGACAGTTCTGGGTCGCCGGAGGAAGCCATGATGATGTGGGAAGTGTCAGCCACTTTCGGCCACGTACCCTCAGCCTTCAGGGTAGCCGAGAACTACTGGCAGAATTTGCAAAAGACGGTAGCTACTACTGTCATCCCAGAGAGCAGCTCGGCTGTTTCAGAAAACCTGTGTCGTAAAGCCCTTCCCCTGTACCGGATGATCTCACTCTCGGGAAGTTGGCAGTACCTGCAGGAAGCCGCCTACGAGGACTACACCAAGGGGCGCTACGCCCCGGCGCTCCTCAAATACCTCCTGTTGTCTGACCTGGGCTACGCGTCAGCTCACGTCAACGCGGGTCGTCTGTTGGACTCTGGGATCACTGGTGTGTACAGTAGTATAGAGGCAGCCCAGAGTGAGGCACTGAAGGTGTGGGGGCGAGCAGCAGAGGCCGGGGTGGCCACAGGGCACCTCCGCCTGGGTGACATATACTACTACGGTGAGGGTGTGCCGCGGGACTTGGAGGCGGCAGCCACGCATTACGGTGATGCTGGTAAGCTGGGCAGCGCTCACGCCTTGTTCAACATGGCTAACATGATAGAGTGGGGTGTAGGCGTGAGTCAGAATGTGACCAACGCCAAGGTGCTGTATGAGGCAGCCTATGAGGCCATTTCTGACGCCTATGTTCCCGTCAGTCTGGCACTACTCAGGATGGACCTCTTCCTCGCCATCAACTCGACGCTCGGTTTTGACCTGTACTACACCAGCTGGTCCCCCACCATAACTCGTCACACTGGTCTGTTCTCAACCCTAGACGCTAACATACCTGCCTGGGATATTGTTGCGATGGTCGTCCTAGCAACAGTTATTGTTGTCATGATAACTGCTCGTCACAGACGCTGACACCATAACCATGTAACACAAGTAACATAGGTTGTGTTATTTTTATGGTCACGTTACCCATCTCACCAGCACGTCCTGCACACCTGAGTGTTGGTCACTAGTATTACTCACACCCCTACCTCACCAGTGACACTCACCATCACCCATCACCAGTGACACTCACCATCACCAGTGATACTCACCATCACCAGTGACACTCACCATCACCCATCACCAGTGACACTCACCATCACCCATCACCAGTGACACTCACCATCACCCATCACCAGTGACACTCACCATCACCCATCACCAGTGACACTCACCACCATCCATCACCAGTGACACTCACCATCACCAGTGATACTCACCATCACCAGTGACACTCACCATCACCCATCACCAGTGACACTCACCATCACCCATCACCAGTGACACTCACCATCACCCATCACCAGTGACACTCACCATCACCAGTGATACTCACCATCACCAGTGACACTCACCATCACCCATCACCAGTGACACTCACCATCACCCATCACCAGTGACACTCACCATCACCAGTGATACTCACCATCACCAGTGACACTCACCAGCACCAGTGACATTCACCAGTGACACTCACCAGCACCAGTGACACTCACCAGCACCAGTGACATTCACCAGTGACACTCACCATCACTATCACCCATCACCAGTGATACTCACCCTCACCATCACCAGTGACACTCACTATCACCAATCACTGTTAATAGTCACCATCACAAACACACATCACTCATCATTACTGAGCTACTATCAGTCACCATCAACCACATCATCTCCACCACATCACAAGCACTATAGAACCTAACTGGTTAAAGGAACTAATATAAAACAGTTCTTACCACCATACAGTAGTTGTGTTCCTCAAGGCCATTATTACCTTGTGTTAATTATAGTGTCTTCATCAAACTGTTTACTACGGTGTGAACATAAACAAACCCTTCACCTATGGAGGTAAATTAAGCTTCCTTCCATACAACTTTCGTCACCTGATCAGCCTCTATCATGTTGCTTATGTGTGATATTAGCCATTAAGGTTACATTATCTAGTTATATATGTCTAATTATACATGTCTAATTATATACAGTATGTGTAGTTACTCATATAATCATATAAAAAACACATATATATTTTAATATCAACTTTCATTTGTATTCGGTTCAAAAAAATTACCAAAAGTTAAAACAAATATTTAATGAAGTTTGTAAAATGATGAAGAGAATTAGGTAATATATGCAACACAAAATATTACTATTTATTTAAGAAAAAATCATATACTAGTCTATATTTATACGGCTGTAAGTCTAACTACTGTATAAAGTGATTTAGTTTGAATTGTAAGTTACTGAATGATGGAATAACGTCTTGTTTATATTTTGTATTTAATTTTGTATTTATTGAATCTATTCCAAGTGTTGTTTTCGAGTCATAAATATAAGGTCTATCTGTCTATATATCCATCTGTCTATATATCTATCTATATCTATCTATCTATCTATCTATCTATCTATCTATCTATCTATACTCCTCGCCCATTTTTGCTGTAAGGATGTAAGGGTTCAGAAACTTCAAGGGGGGGGGGGTAAGGGTAACACACACACACACTGAACCAGGGGATAATATTTTTGTGATTAATTTATAAGGATATGTAAAATGTATGGATTAAATTATATGGATATCATGTATGGATTAAACTATGGATATTATGTATATATATTATGTATGGATTAAGTTATGGAGAATAATATGTATATATACCATGAATGGATTAAGTTGCGGGCATTATGTATACATGAATGGGTTACATTATGGATAATATGTGTAGATAAATATGGTTCAAGTCATGGATATATCCTGCTCACTCTGTAGCTTCCACGAATACGATAAACAAAACCATTGTCTAGTCTTATAACCCAAATAAAATATATAAATATATAATGAGTTTCATATCACACCTAACTAAACCTAACCTAACCTCACACAATAGAAGTAATCATATTTATAGCGTTATTCATCATGTACTGACCTTGATAACACAATCTGGAGTTAACAAAGAAAAAACTGTTATCAAAACACGGAATCAACTCATACTTTGGGACTGATAAGAGAAGCTATTTACTGATACTATCTGTACTATTGGTGTCATGCTGTGTTAAAAATATGACTTGAACTAACCATTGTTGTCACGCGGTGTAAATCCTTCTTAGATTTATAGGATTATTTGAAGATTAGACGCCCCAGTTTATTTTACCTGAAGATTAAACGCCACAGCTTATCAAATTTACCCATATTCTTGATTCTATAACCAGTGAAATACAAGTCGTAGTTGTATTCATAACAGAAGAATTACGTACATACATTTTATACAATAAATAGGTAGGCAACAATATCATAACATACAAATTACACACACACACACACACACACATATATATATATATATATATATATATATATATATATATATATATATATATATATATATATATATATATATATATATATATATATATATATATATATATATATATATATATATATATATATTAGGTAAGTAATCCAGGAGCATATATTAAGCGAATAATTACATGTACAAGTATCATCTTGATATGTAATTCACGCTTATGCAACCAGGAAATTAACCAATAATTATAGAGTATGCAATTGATATATGCAGTGAACACATGGTGCAAGCTCATAATACACTAATTATATCCTAATTAAGCGACAAAATCATACTTAAGTAAATATATGTTGTAATTACGTGTGCCGGTTTGTCTCTAGCTATCGGGTTAGATAAGATACCTGAACCAAGTGTGTTGAGTTCTCACGGCAGGTAACAGAGTTCGTGTCTAGATCCAAACTATATTGACGGGAGAGAGAGAGAGAGAGAGAGAGAGAGAGAGAGAGATTATGTGTCTGAGGATTACTTATTAAATTAATTGAGTTAACCTTTCTGTAAACGTATGTACATGTGTGTGTGTGTGTGTGTGGTGTGTGTGTGTGTGGGGTGGCAAGTGTTAATGACTCAGTATATCGATCAAGACGGGGGTGGCCGTGGCTCACTCACCTGAGGCAGGTGTGTGTGGTGGGGGGGAGGGGGAGAGGGGGGATTCTCGTTGGGTCCAGATTCTCAATAACTCGTGTGTGATTTAGGCTGCGTCATTCAGTCCTATGAAAGACTTAACTGACTGACTGACTGATTGACTAATCGACTGACTGCCTGACTTATTGACTGATTGACTGACTTACTGGCTGACTGACTGACTTATTGACTGACTGACTTATTGACTAATTGACTGACTGACTTATTGACTAATTGACTGACTGACTTATTGACTGACTTACTGACTGAGACTGACTGACTGCTTTACTTTTCCCCTGTACCAGATGACGTTAGACTAGTGTATCTAGTTATAATAGAATCTTTAATGTAACATCAGCTCCATTTTACATACAATCTCTGTTGGGTGGGTTCAGCTGGGAGTCTTCAGTGTACACTAACTATACATTAAACACACACACACACACACACACACACACACCGGGGCAATAAGTGTTAACATGTGACAAATCCCTTCACCACTTCCTAAACATATGACAGCCGCCCTCTCCCTCATCCCTCGCTTCTGGGGTCAAACAGCTGACTAAGACAACATGAAGGCCAGGTGTGTGTGTGTGTGTGTGTGTAATAATAATAATAATAATAATTAACGGTTTATTGAAAGAGCATGGCAGCCGGAAGGCTGAAAATATACAATTGCATAGTAATTGGGGAGTGGGTCTCTTGATATACAAATGATATACAAGTAACATAAGTGATACAAATATGATATATAATAATTAAGTGTTGATAAGTGTTACAATTGTTGGGACTGGGCTGTTCTTATAGCAATCAGTTCGTGCTTGTATGGGCTAGATGCGGTTGGGCAGGTGTGTGGCCACGTGGCCACACGTGGCAATGTGTGTGTGTGTGTGTGTGTGTGGCGTGTATTCCTGCGATATATCTGCCTCTGTGGTGAACAGGTGTATCTTAGCTATCAGGGCCACATATGTAGAGTGTCGTCATATATAGCTGCATTAGGAGTTACTGGTCACCTGTATTGAGGGGAGGTGAGGTGAGGTGAGGTGAGGTGAGGTGAGGTGAGGTGTTGTAAAGGTACACAGAGGTAGACGGTGTTTACAGTAAAATGATGTTGTTGAGGGAGACAGGAGGTAGAGAGAGGGAGACAGGAGGCAGAGAGAGGGAGAGAGGAGGTAGAGAGAGGGAGACAGGAGATAGAGAGAGGGAGACAGGAGATATAGAGAAGGAGACAGGAGATAGAGAGAGGGAGACAGGAGATAAAGAGAGGGAGACAGGAGATAGAGAGTGGGAGACAGGAGGTAGAGAGAAGGAGACAGGAGATAGATAGAGGGAGACAGGAGGTAGAGAGAGGGAGACAGGAGATAGAGAGAGGGAGACAGGAGATAAAGAGAGGGAGACAGGAGATAGAGAGAGGGCGACAGGAGGTAGAGAGAGGGAGACAGGAGATAGAGAGATGGAGACAGGAGATAGAGAGGGAAAGAATAATGCTGCTAGGTGGTCGGGGAGGCGAGTGAAGGACAGTAATCTCTGTGAATTAGGGGAATTAACCATCAATTTTACGGTAATTTTCTTGTAATTACTAAGTTCTTTGCGTCACTGTAATCTGGGCTGCATCACGCAAGAAGATGCTTCACTCCTTGACTACTATATATCATTTCTTTCACTTAATATATTCGTCTCTAGTTTATTATGTCCCTAACAGCACTACAAACACACATCAATAACGAAACACCAATAATCCTCAATTGGGAATAACAAAAATCACTATCTTTTTTTTTTTCAATCACAAAATTCAATGACCATTTTCTCTGGTGTCAAGGGAAGTTATATTGGTACATTTTCTTTGGTTGTGTCTTAAGGGACGACTTCGTTTTCTATGGCGGACTGAAGAAAACCAGAGTTACCATGTGGAGGCGAGCGTGCGACTCTGTTGGCTCAATTTGGGTGCCTTGGAAACGTGAGTGGCTGGATATTTCACTTGAACACCGTCGAGTGAAGTCATTGCGGGACCGTGTGTGCTGTACCAGTGTTGTAACCGCTTGTTGTTGTGAATGACTGAGTGAGTGCAGGACTTAACACATGTTTA